TCTGGCCTCAAACGTGTCCAGGGCTTGGAGCAGCTCTGTGGAGACCGTGGTTGAGAAGGGAATGCCCTTGAAGCTGTGAATAAGCTCTGTTTGTTCCGGCATCGTTAGGTGATTGTATCCTCACAAGCAGTCTGAAGTCTGCAGATGTAGTGTAGTCGAGGTGGATAATTCAGAGACGGCTCTCTCTCAGTTTATATAGTATTAAAATAAAGGAACTTGCAGTAAATGTTGTCATGCTTGGAAAAATTAATCTGATGGAAACGGAAAGAAATGGTGTAATTTTTATGTACATGATGAAGTATTTTGTGAAGAGGCATACTGTTTAGGATATTTTAATAGATACATTATTTTGTAACATTAAATTAAAATTTTCCCCAACTGAAATCTCCAGTAACATTATACTAACATGTCAACATTATTACATGGAATTGTATTTGAAACCGAGAACAGGAGACACTTCTTTACTCAAAGGGCAGTGGGAGCATGGAACAAGCTACCAAGCCATGTTGTCAAAGCTGATACACTGGCTTCTTCTTTAAAACAGCTGGACTAGATTCTTGCATCCCTGAACTACCAACTAATAAGGAAGCCAAATGGCCTCTTCTCACTTCTAATAGGGGCTTTTGTTTTTACTCTTAAAAGGTGTAAACAAGTGTAAATGATAATTGTGAATTGTTTACATGATTGTCATAACTAAATCACTAAATAAAGTGTCTGTCATGTGTTTCACAGGACCTCCCAAAATACGTCAAAGAGATCAGTTCATTTTTGAACATCAGCGTCTCCGAAGATCAAATCAATGAGATCGTGAAGAAATCCTCCTTCAGCGAAATGAAAGAAAAGGCACAGAAGGAGAAAGTCGACACAAAGCACACAGTTTGCGCACTGACATCTGATAAGAAGCTGATCTTCATGAAAGGTGAGGCTTTCATTTCAAATGCCAATATTTCAGACAGAACATTAAAGGGCAGAATTGTTGGAATAGGTTCAATCTCCTTTTCCAGCCTCCTGTAGCTATTTTCAGAAAACACAAGGGACACATTAACCCATCCATAATTCAGTCTGTTATATGATGCTAATTTGTTCCTATTTCAACAGGGTGTAAATGAATCTGCAGGGCAAAGTATTTCTCAAGAGTATTTCCCGTATTAAACATCAAAAGAAAATATTTTTTTTTTATTCATTTAGTAAGAATGTTTCTCAAGACAACCAGAACCAATGAGTAGAAGAGACCAGTCTTACTTTCAAGACATCGGATTATGTATATGCAAATCACATACGTCATGAAATTGTGTTTTCTAACTTGGCATTCTCTTTAATGTGTAGGTGCTGTGGGTGACTGGAAGAATCATTTTACCTCCAAGCAGAACGCCCAGTTTGAAGCACTGTTTAAGGACAAGATCAACTCCAGTGAATTAGCAAGACAAGTTGAATATGAGTGTTAGCATGGAAGGGATGAAGTATGCTGTGAGATATGATCTCATCCCTTTTGTTTTTATTCTCACCAGCATATTCTGTCCCTTCATAATTCTGACAGTTACTTTTGTACGAACAGAATATCTTAAAGCACTAGAAATACTTTGTAATTTATTTTCCCATAAAAGTGACTTTCAACTTCTGAACTACAAATGGTTGAATTACCACATTTATTGTTCAAAGTTCTGTAAAGGAAATTTACTGGTATTGAAATCAATTAATATATTTATGTTAATTGTAAATAACATTATTTATAAATTTTTGTTATATTTAAAAATCTCTGCATGATTTTACATGACATTTTGTCAGTTGCATTTAATAAATTATCATTTTGGATGAGACTCCATGTTTTTTCTTCTTGTCTCAGATTGAGGTGTAGTAGCTTTTGTGTCCACTGGTGGAACCTGTGCTTCTTAAACTTCAGAGTCAGTATCTCGGTCTAATTCTAATATTGATTACAAGAGCCAGCAAGTAAAAAGTTGTAGTGTACTTAATACTGTGGAGATATCCTGCCTGGCTGAAGTAATGAGTTGTAATTATTTAAAAATGAACTTCCCGTTTTCATTTTTTGCATCTGAAAATGATTAGTTTTATGTATTATACATTTATTAATATTGTTAAATTTTACTTATAGAGTACGTAATCAGCCTGTAAACAAGACTTTTCAACAACTACAACTTTTTTGTGTCCAAAACAAAATCAGAAGTACAGTAATTAAACAGTACATTACAGCATTTCTTTTCTTTCATAAATTTCATTTGAACAATCAAAAAGCTGTGCATAAATACAATTAAAAACTCTTCAGAATGCTGCAAATCCCTGTTTTAATAAACCAGTCTTTAAGCACTTTTATTGTTCATACAATGATAAAGTATAAACTTACAAGGGACATTAAAAATGTATTAATTCACCAGAAAACAAAAACAATATATAGCAAATTTCCAAAATGTATTTCTGAATTAAAGGATTCATTTGCAGATTCCTTTTGAGAAAAATAAGCACAAGACGTAAAAATGTTTCTATGGGCTTCTGCTTTACTGATTCCCTTACTCCAATTATCTTCTACTGAGCCCGAAACACTTTTCATATCTTAAAACATGACATTGTACCTGTTTAAGTTACATTATAACCCCAACTTTTTTGGAGTTCTCTGAAAGGTGATTCCTATTCTTTCTTTGCAGATTGTATGGAGAAATGTTTTTCACTTTATTAATCTTTAATATTACTCATTAAAAAAGAATACCCGTGTTTTGTTTCATTTATTTGAATTGTTCTTTATTTTATCATGTTTGTGTCTAGATTAAATGATTTTGAACCCAGTGCTCATAGTTATGAAATCAAGATGAGTTCATGTGTGAGAAAAAGACCTTAAACTGGACACTCTTTTAATTCAAATTCAGTAAAAGAGATTTCAGAGAGTCTCAATTATGTTAAGATGCCTTTGTTAAAATGTTGTAAAGAGACACAGAAAGACACACTAATACATTAATAGAAACGTACTGTATACTTTTGTAGTATGTGCAAACAAAATGTGTCTAAAATAAGATGCGTTTCAGAACTTTGTACAATGTAGACATTGTACATTTGTTTTAAATTAATGTTTCAGATTTATTTATCTCAAGTGTTGTACTATACCTATCAGCTTGCTTCTATTTTCACTGACATTTTTAATTGGTCTGTTGAGCAGTGTAAACTGCTTGTTCCTGCATGTTTTGAATCTGCAGTGATTATTCTAGCGCTTAAGAAATCTAATGTCAGATGCCTGAATGATTATATCTGTGGCTCTGACTTCAGTAATTATGAAAGTTTTTAACCATTTGTCCAGTGTTGAACTGGATCCTTACCAGATTGCATACTGGGTCAATAGGACTGTAGAAGAAGCTGTTTCTCCCTGTCTTAATTTTCATCCTGCAACACCATGGGACCCCTGCTACCTACAAATGGATCCTGTTTATCAAATACAGATCAGCATTCAATATAATCGTTCCTTCAAAGCTGTTTGATAAACTTCAGGGGCTGGGTAATTAATCATCCAGTTCCTGTGCCATTGGATCCTAGGTTTTCTGTCTGATAGGAAACAGGTGGTGAAGATGGGTAACATGTTTTTTAAGACTGTGACTCTGAATAGTGGTGCCTCCCAAGACTCATTATACACAAATGATCGTATCTCTTCTTCTGAGTTTGTGAATATAATAAAATTTACACACGAGACAACATGAATAGGTTTAATCACCAATAATGAAAAAACAGCATAGTGAGGTAGTGCCCTGTTGTGGTATAATGAGGAATTTGGAGCTGAACATTAGGAAGACTGAAGAGCTGAAGGTGGACTTTCATAGGGGAGGAGGAGATGTGCCAACACTTTCATGGCCAGTCTGTGGAGAGAGTGGACTCCTTCAAGTTTCTTCGTATTGGCCACTCACAGAAGTGGGAAGTTAATACCTGCCTCGTCATGAAGGAAGCCCATCAGGGGCTGTCCTCCCTAAAACAGCTGAGAAAGTTTGCAGTTCATCAGGAAGCAATGACTCACTTCTGTAGAACTGTGACTGAGAGCGCAGTCACCTTGTCGATAACTGTGTGACGCAACGCTATCAGTGTGATGCAGCAATACAACCGCTCAAGCGCGGAAACAGCTGGAAGGAGTCACACACACAACATGCAAGATCATCGCATGCAGTCCTCCCTCTCTCTATTTACAACAGCTGCAGGAAACAGTGTCAGACAGTGTCCACAGACCCCTTCCATCCTGCCAGCTCTGTGTTAACATAACTTTGTGCGTGAAGAACAAGCTTCTTGTTTCAGTAATGTGGTCATGGTCATAGTCCTAAACATAATGTGAAAGTCAAAGCACATTCATTTAGAATTGTTTAAGTGTTAAAAAATTGCCTTTAGTACACAAATACAGAGCACTATAATTTCATAATCAGATCCCAGATATGAACAGAGATTGATATTTTCATTCTTGCCCATTTGATTTGAAGATCTATGCCCTGACCCACTGATACAAGTCGATGTAAGTTGAGTAAAATGTTAGTGACAGGAGAAGATAAATAGAAGCTAAGATACGTGATCCTTTTGTTTTATGGAGAGCCACAACAAGCTAATTTCACAAGAGAGTAAACACTAACTCGAGGCCCCAGTTTTCAGCATGTGAGTGAGCATTTTGAAATATATTAATAATCCTTTCATTAGCTGGGGGATAACTAGAAGTCAGTGACATTATGTTGAATTTTCCAGCCCTGTCCTGTGCAGTTCTGAATCACCAGGGTTCCCTGCTCAACTTCCAGACACCTGTGTGTTTTTCTGTTAATCATGGCCTTTCCCTGTAAAACAAATAAACATAATAAACATGAGAGATAATACATATATTTAACATTTTACCTTCTTTCTCAGATGCTGTTATCCCAGAAAATTATAGAAATTTGAACTGTATCGTTTGTTAAGGATTTATTAAATTAACATGTTAAACAATATGAATTATCATCCATAAATCCATACTTTAGAGGCCATACTAAAGTTAAGTAAGAACAACAATTTTCAAGGCAGGACTTTTTTTAGGTAAAAAAACAATTTCAAGAAAAATGACTATTGTCTGTAAAAAACAAATGAGAGGTTTTAGGCTGAAGACCTTGAGCACAATGTCTAGGTTACAGTACTCCCAGTATTGTTTCTCACAAAGGTCAATAATTTGTGCCAAACAGTTCAATTTTTACCCTCTAACTACCTTTCTTGACCACCTCTGAGAATTTAAACCTACGTACTGTACTTCATTCAAATGTATTCTAACGGGCTTGAAGAGAGTTCTGCATGTTTCTTTATGTATTGCTGCAACAGTTTCACATTGTCAAGACAGATCAGGAATCTGATGCCTGAGCAGTAAAATATTAATTATTACATTATATTATTATTATTAAATTAATATTAAAATATTATATATTAAATGTGGTGCTTTTTGCTCATTAGATTTGACAAATAATACCCTGGATTCAAAATATTTAGTCCACCAAAAAGACTCACCTGAAAATGGCAAAAAAAACAACAACAAAGTTATTGGACAGTAAAGGTTTTTGTCGAGGCCTTACCTGTTCAAAGTCCCAGTAGATGCTATAGCCTTTTTGTTTTGCCACAGAGCACTCATACAGGCCTGGGGTACTGCCTGTACCTGGGTCAGCCAGACATCTGTTGTTGTTGTATTTGTGAGACTTGATACCTCCAATATAGAGCTCTCCACTTTTTCGGTAGTATGTATTCTGAAAAGTTATGAATGGAAAGTGTTTTTTAATTAGTGAATTTATTCTAGCTCTGCCTGTACAACTTTTTATTGAAAATTGGTTTAATGAAAAAATGTTCCATGCCTAAATATAAAACATTTAACCTAGATGAATTGTAATGACTATTTATTGTTTGCTCCTTTTACACGACAGCAGGGTTTGAATCTGAAGTAGAACAGGCCGGTTTTATCATTTTAATTTATCAGGACAAAGCATAAAGACATGTAAACAATGTGTATTGTGTTTTGAATTGTAAAACATAACAGTGCTTCTTTCTATAAAGCACTAATTGTTTTCAGGACATGTGTAATCTTTAAGTTTGGCTGACATTACAGATCTTGTTTTAAACAAATCAATATTGTGAGCAAAAAAGAGAGTGAAAATTTAGGATTGCTCAAGCAATGATTTAAGATCAAAATCACATAGTTTGTCAGCAGTACAATGCTCCTTATGAGTATTTCAGATACACCCAGAAACTGGCCAAGAGCTCATAAAAATGGCAAAAGACAAACATGAAACATTTTTTTTTTCACAGAAAAAGAAAGGCACAAGTCACAAGTTACGGTGGAGATTCATACAGCAACATAACTGCCAACATAAGAAAGTGAGAATACAAGGATCATGTCTTGTATTCTGTTGGGCCCACAGAAGCATTACCAACTTGTAGTCTGATCTTGTCAGAAATCAAAAGCTGAGGAAGGTTGGGCCTGGTCAATACCAGGGTGGGAGACATTCAGAACTTGGCAAACTAGACTGCTGCTGAGGTGTTGGTGAACCTGTAGAACAGCTGGCTCTACTATCTATTGACCAAAACTTACAATCCCATCCTCTTTAAAGTGACCAGGGACACTATGTCATGGTAGATTCTATCCTGGCATCCTTCAGATGAGATGCTAAACCAAGGTCCACACTACTTTTGCAATAAACATGCCACTGCATGGTTTATATAAGGTGGTTTATATGTGGTGGCAGTGTGGTGGCTCTGTGGCTAAGGATCTGCGCCTGTGGCTGGGAGGTTTGCCGGTTCGTATCCCCTGGCCGGTAAAGGAACCCTACTCCATTGAGCCCCTGAGCAAGGCCCTTAACCCCAGCTTCTCCAGGGGGTGCTGTATAAATGACAAACCCTGTATGTCTTATGGAGAGCAAGTTGGGGGTATGTAAAAAAAAAAGACAAATTCCTAATACCAGAAATTGTATATGGCCAATAAAGTGATCTTATAAGTGTAGCGAGGTGACGTTCAGTACACTGGCTTATGTCCATTCTAGGCTTACAAAACACAGGACTACTGGAGAAAATGTCTTCAATAATTCAATTGGTATAGCAATTTCTAACTTCTCCCCCAATCTGCAGTGAAGTGGGGCAACTTGTCTTTGTAAAAAATTGAAAAGCTCTTCTGACTATATTGTAAATAAACAATTATAGTGTTATGTGAACTCACTATGAAACTAAAGGCAAAATGAAAATTCACCTAGCTCCACTGCTGAGATTGTGGTTGGCACTCCTGCAGCAGAAGACGTGTAATGTCTACGCTACATCACTCAGGTGTTTAGTGCATTGCGGCGGTCAATGGGAGGGACTCAGAATCAATTAATTGAGTAAGGAGTAAGAAGAAGATACAGTTACCTGTGGACCATAGTAGTAGCATCCAAATGCTATGGGTACATTTCCAGGAACAGGTCCTTGATCGATACAGACATTCTCTTTCACAGTGTTCTTCAGCTGTAGAAAAACAAAGATAAAAGAGTATTTATAAAGCTAAGATTACACTTTTAATACGCAGCAACCCCAAGCTGATACCACTTTCAGAAATTATATATATGATTAGAAGAACCATCTCTCTTTAAAATTCATGGCGGGTATCAAAGATTTGTTGCAATCAGGGCCGGATTTTGGTGTTCGTAGGCCCCAGGCTCTTTCACTCCGAAATGTGCAAAAAGAGGGATAAACGCCAATTGAATAACATCGACTGACATGATGCACTTTAAACTATTTTAATGCTAAACCAACAAGTCGAGCGACCATCAGTTCAATACTTCTAGATTCTAGAACAGCCGCTAGATAGCGTATGATTATTGATTTGGAGCACCTAGAGTCGATCGCAAGCGTGTTGTTTCAGCTCGTTTTTCATGAGTCACTAGTGTTTCCCTCTTTTGTAGTCCCTAAAATTTTTTTAGGCCCTAGGCCTAATTGGATATCGGGCTCTCATTGCAGTCCTGTCTGAAACAGATAAAATCTCTCATTCTCAATGTCAAAATAAATTGCAGGTCCTGCATGAGACAAGTCAGAACTTTCTGAGTGGAGTTTGGACTTTGGAATATGTTCTCACGTTCATTAAATAACGGATCACACAGGTTTGTTATCTCTACAAAGGTTGCATTTCACCAAAAAATCTCTTAAATGGTTCCTAAGAAATATTGTTAATCGGTCTGATGTCATTAATAAAGCGACTGAGGAGAATGATGGAAATTATTATTGTGAATAAGTATTATAATTATTGAAAACTAAACTTAATGAAGCATCGTTTGAGAAACACGTTCCTATGAATTCAATCAGCATTTATAGCTTTAAAGCCTTTAACACATTCTTTACATATTATAAATACCTTTGCAAAGACAAAATGCCCCCATAATGACAAAAAGAGTAAAAATTCTTACAGCTCCATAAGCAACAAGGTCTTCCCATGGATCCAGCTGAGGGTACACGTTGTCTATATACCACTTGAAAGGCTTACATTTCAGTTTCTCTCTGAGCTTCTTTCTTTCTGAGACATCCCCAATGTCAATTCCATGGTCCTGGAAGAAGAATGACACATGAACTAGACGATGTGCTGCAATATCGCAGCCAGCATCCATATCACCCTGCAACTCACAACCGGCATCCCCACTAAAGATCAGCAGATGTGAGCCTGGTCAGTACCTAGATGGGAGACCTCCTGGGAAAAACTAAGGTTGCTGCTGGAAGAGGTGTTAGTAGGGCCAGCAGGGGGCGCTCACCCTGCGGTCTGTGTGGGTCCTAATGCCCCGGTATAGCGACGGGGACACTATACTGTAAAAAAAAAGGTGCCATCCTTCGGATGAGACATAAAACCGAGGTCCTGACTCTCTGTGGTCATTCAAATCCCAGGGTGTTTCTCAAAAAGAGTAGGGGTGTAACCCCGGTGTCCTGGCCAAGTTTCCCATTGGCCCTTACATAATAATCCCCATCTATGAATTGGCTTCATCACTCTGTTCTCCTCCCCACTGATAGCTGATGTGTGGTGGGTGTACCTGCACACTATGGCTGCCATCGCATCATCCAGGTGGTCCTGCACACTGGTTGTGGTAGAGGGGAGTCCCCATTACCTGTAAAGCGCTTTGAGTGGAGTGTCCAGAAAAGCGCTATATAAGTGTAAGCAATTATTATTATTAGCTTCTATCTTTGGTGGCACAGAGGAGCAGTGGTGACCATTGCTGTTTCAGAGACCTGGAGCCCTGGGTTCAATACTGGGCCTGGTACAGTATGTTCTCCCTGTGTTTCCATGGGTTTCCTCTGAATGATCTGGTTTCCTTCAAGAGTCCAAAGACGTAGTAGGTGTTTCATTGTCAACTGGGAAAAATTGGCCCTGGTGTGAGTGTGTGCATGTCTGTGTTTGTCTCTGTGTGTGCCCTGCGATGGAGTACCATCCCATCCAGGGTGTATACTTCCTTGTGCCTACTGATTGCTGTGATTTTTCATTTTATATATCATTTGGATATTAGAGATGGTGTCCAGCTGCCCCACAACCTTGAACTGGATGAAGGATTTATGAAATGGAAGGATGTTTGGAACTTGTGTCTTTCAAATGAATCAATAGAATAAAAGCAGAAACAATGTGAAGAAAGGAGGCCCATCCAGTCCATCTTGTTTATTTGACTAAGCTAAGCCACCCTAACATTTACTGCATTTGCTTCTTAAAGGATCCTAGAGTTTGAGCTTTAACATTCTGAATGGCAAACTTGTTCTAGATATCACAACTCCCTTCCTATTCTCAGTCTTAAATGAATTCCCTATTTGCTTTCCCATTGTGACTCTTTGTACTTGTTGCAGTACTGAGTCTGAAGTCATCTGCTGGGTTGACCCTAGGAACCCCTGCTGCTGCCATTATCAATAAAGATGAATGAGTCAGTTCCAGAAGACGCCATGCATGTCCAAACCAATGACAGTACTTCTGCCATGCCTTAGAGATGAGTTGACGTTCTCTGGAGGACATACAGTTCTTTTCATTCAGCATATTTTAACCTTATCATCACTGTGGTAAAGGTTTATCTAGGGTTCATCTGACCATAAAACATTGTTAAAAAATCTCTCCCACCTCATGATGGACTATGGACTGACTCTGAAAACTTAAGTCAAAGGAAAAGATTATATTCTGATTTAGCTACAGTCTTCCAAAAAGGCTACATGGGGCAAATGGCCTCCTCTCATTTGTGACTTTTCTTGTGTTGTTATGTTCTAATTACCTTTATTGGTAGATTCCAAGCAATATTAATGTTTTTTTTGTACTCATCCATCCACACTTCGGCCACTCGCAGTGCGTTCCTCTTCATGGTGATGCTGAGGTCAGGCAGATAGGGTTTGTGTGCTCTCTCAATGTGAGCTATCTTGGAACACGGCACAATCTCAATACTGCCCCCACACAGCCAAATCTAGGTCAAGTTAAATATAGCACAGTTATTATTATGGCTATCAAACAACAATAAACAATTTGTCTTGTCTTCAGAAAAATCATGACTACACAGTCATGCTGTGGTCTCCAAGCTTACAGTACATGAGGAATTTACATTTCTCTCCTGGGAATGCATAATGTATTTTGAATTGAATCAAATCGAATTGAAGTGAATGGAATCAAAAGGAATCAAATCAAATCAAATTGAATTTAATCAATTGAATTGAACTGAATCAATTGAATTCAACTAAATGGAATGGAATGGAATTGGATCATATCGGATTGGAGTGAAAGGTGAAATGCTCCTTTCAAATGTTACACCTCAGAACAGTTCTAACAGCCCAAACCAAATTTTAGTTGATAATAATGTTTACTTGTACTAATAATGGATCATAGTCAAATGGAAGTAAAAGCTTGTCCTGTCAGATCTTCTGAACAGAACCATCTTGACCATTTGAGTTTGCTATAGAGATCTTTAGCCAATAAAACATACGTATTTAGGAATGAAGGAGGATTTAGAAGTGAGAATGTGTGATTCTCTTATAAATAAAACATCTTTTGATTGCAACTCTTTTTCTTTCTGTCTGAGTTAGTCCTATTTGTCAAAGGTGAAGGAATACTGAAATCAGGTTTAAGGTTCATGAGTTTACTGTTTACAAAACGTTTTAAACTTCTTCACCTCCTTTTTCGCAGCAGGTAAACAAGGAAATTAAAAAAGCACCTGCCTCTTGAGCTGTTTTGAACAGGTAAAGAATAGATGGAGATGAGGGACAGAAGGTGGATCAATGAGACTACGACAAAGCAAACCAGATTAAAAACAACATAAAAAGAAACAATGTAAGGATTGCATGATAGCTCATTGCACGAATAGGCAAAGAGTGAGTAAAGAAAACCATCTGGTTTTACAGGCCTTGGCAAAACTGGTTATGTGTGTATAGCAATGTGCCATAAAAAGGACAAACAAAAAACAGGTGTCGACACCTGAAGAATGTTCCATGGCCAAAATGCTGTGTTTTCTTTCTTCTCTTTTCAGCATGGAATAAACCTATTACTTCTTACTTTGCAATCAAGTAATATTCTAATGTTAAACCTGTTGCACGGTGTACAGTGTGTGACTGGTTCCTGTGGTTACTTACTCTAACCCCCAGCTCCACGTTTTCACCACCATAGATTTTCATTCCTCCATCCAAACTCCCAATTTCGCCAAGGAATTTTCTGTCTGCAACAAGAATTCCCATAAGAGATGGGCTTCTGCCAAAAACAAAATAAAGGGAGTCAATTACTGCCTTTTGTATATTAAACATCTTTTCATTTAAAAAAAACTTATTTTAGAGAACAAAACAAAACTATTTTACATATGAACAACCATTATTCAGCCTTACATTACAGGCACAAATTCCTGTTTGTTCCCCTATTTTTTACAATTATATAACTTTTTAACAAAACTATATACATTTAAAAGAAGGAAGATGTATACAGTTATGAATATGAAAAGGGAGGAGACTATATAAATGTATCTTATTAAATTTCAGTTATTTTGTATCTCAACAAAATCTGACCTTAAAGGTTTAATGTACTGAACACATCTAAACCAATATTTGACACATTTTTTCATTTGTAATTTTAGTGAAAATGTTATTTTTTCCATTATATATATTTCCCTTATTAATTCAATCCAATCATTCATTGTTGGTAGATCTGTGAGAAGCCACTTTCTTTTTATAGCTTTCTTCCCTGCTGATATAAGGATTCCAAACAAATATTAATCACTTTTCATAGTCGTTAATGCCCTTGATCTGAACAAAATGCAACATTGCTGTCCTGCACAGGTCTTGGAGAGCCATATCTCAACCATGCTGGGATGTAACTTGAAATAATAAACAGCTTTTCATTTTGGAGAGAAAAAGGGGGTTGTGGGAGAATTAAAACAGAAAACAACCAAGGTGTAATGTGCATACAGAAGGAGCTGCATCTTTAAAGGATGCATCCAATAAGTGATTTCACTGTCCTGTTTTGGAATTAAGTGGCCATTGGTGAAGGACTTACTTTCCAGGCCTTGATGGATCCTTCAGTCTGTACCAATCGGGCTGGAAAGACTCATACATGCACCACAGAGCCCAGTCAAAGGCGTGTGCAGCTGGGGTATATTTAACAACTTCTAAATTGTCAAAATTCACTCTGTCAAACACAGGGGACACCACCACAGTGCGATTCTCCTTTATTCTTGCAAGCAGCGGCTCAGCCCTGTGGACACAACAGGAAATGACAGTCAATGTCATTTTTTTTTAAATGGCATAATTTGATGCAGAGTGATCAACAAACAAATGTTAGGCAAGATATTTCTTTCAAGCCTTCATCTCTGTCCCTTCCTTAATTGTATCCCGTCACAAACTACAACAAAATATTTTCTAAAGCATTCAACTTATTTCACAGCAGCAGGTTTTATGACTTTGCCCAGGTGACATCCCAGAATATGGTATGCCAGTTCACATAACTCGGTCAAAGTCATCTCTCAGTGATGGTGGCTGTACATACAACATTTTAACATGTTTCAAAATATCTACCCAAGTCCCACAAAGCAATTGTTAAAGTTTTTGAAGTGAATACATGAAAGAGACTATTTAATAATTATTACATATTGAAAAAAAAACAACACCCTAGTATTGAAGTACAATGACAAACACTGCACATATATAAAATAAAACAAAGCATTACTTTCAATAATTACTGCCTTGTGCAAATTGTGGATTTTGGGTAAACACTTCTTGGGTGAGAACTTATTTTTTAGTCATTTTATTCAATTCTTTTGAAGTGGCTAGTTTCCAAGAAGGGGAATTGAAATATTTGTTTTATTGGGAGTAGTTTTCCCTCCAGAGATTCAAGAAATATTGGTAAATTTTCTCCCATTATTTTTCTTTTCCAGTTAGAAGAAATGATCTTGAGGAACTGTGAAGGAACTCAAGCAGATCAATTACAATCACTGCTAAAGGTAATATGTGCTCTTCATCTTCATGCCAGTGTTTACAGTGATTGTTTTGTGTTTTTAAAGGACAATTTTAGAACAAGAACCAGAGAAGTAAATGCATATTTTTTTTACTTTTGAGATCCGTCAGGCCTAGTTTGTTTTTTTCTTGTTACTTAAAAATTTTATTTCACCAAATCCTATTCCATCTGCTATTCTTCCAAAAGACCTTCGATGTTAGAGTCTGGGACAAGGGGTGTGTCTGTCTTTTGTGCTCTAGTTTCCTGCCACATACTGGGAGGTTAATTGGCTTCTGGGAAGATTGGCCCTGGTGTTAGTGTGTGCATGTCTGTATGTGTCCTGTGATGGGCATCCCATCCAGGGATATGATAACGGATCAAAGGAATGCAGTCTTCTTAAAATTATGTTTAATAGACATAATAGTTTCAAAAACTAAAAGCAATAAACTTGATTGATCTTAATATTTATTGTCACATTACGTTCTCTACACACAATGCAAGGATGTACCTTTTAATACCTAGAAGTGTTAAAAGCCAAATATGACAACGAGAAACAGTTTTTTAAGTAATTGTTAGCATAGGACATAGCATATCAATTACCAAGATGTGTAGGGGAACTGCTTTGTATGGAAGGTAATACATTTAAGCCTTGTTTACAACAAGTATTTATGTTAGAAAACGAACACCTACAGTATGTGACTTGTGTTTTGCCATTGAATGAGCTATTTGTAAATATGCAAACTGGATGTTTTATCACATTCTTTTATATTGTTGTTTCCTTTTTTTGTTGTTGTTTGTGCATAGTTCATATATTCTGATTTCACATTTAATATGGGAAAATCCATAAAGATATTGCATTAAAAAACAGATGTGTTGTGAAATCGATCTTCCAAAACAAAGCTAGCTGCTGTGAAGAAATTACTTACTACTGTATCTTGGGAAACCAGAAGCTAGTGATATGGAAAAACCCATAAGGATATTGCATTAAAAAACAGATGTGTTGTGAAATTGATCTTCCAAAACAAAGCTAGCTGCTGTGAAGAAATTACTTACTACTGTACCTTAGGAAATCAGAAGCTGGTATGACTGGAATCTTACCATTCTGCATGGACCTCTATGTGGGCATCCAGAATGGCCACTACTTCACCTGTAGCAGCTTCCCATCCAGAAATCCGGGACTGTGTCAGGCCCCTCTGTTCACTGTGTCTCACCCTCTTCACTAACCCTGGGTGCTTCTCATGGATCAGATCAATGTAATCATCAAGCTTTCCTTTCAGGTCCTCTGTCGATTATGTGCATGTTAAGAAGACATGGACTAATTAAGATCACTTTATTGGCCATATACCATTTCTTGCGTTAGGAGTTTGTCTTTTCACAGACCCCAGCTTGCTCTCCATGAGACACACAGGCGGAGAGAGAGGAGGGTCAGAGCGCAGGGTCAGCCTTTTATACAGCGGCCCTGGTGCAGCTGGGGTTAAGGGCGTTGCTTAGGGGCCCAGTAGAGTAGGATTCCGCTGCCGGCCATGAGATTTGAACCAGCAACCTTCTACTGTAGCTACAGGCGCAGATCCTTAGCCACAGTGCCACCGCTCTGCCCTAGGTTCCATACTAATTCAGTACTAATCATGAATATGTCAGTTATTACAGTAAACTACGGCAATGGCTCTTTGTATTCAAATTTATATTCACTGCATTTTCCCTGAAAAGGAAAAAGCTTTTGAAAGACAGAGCTAAAAAACTTTGATGGTCATTTCCTTCCTCTGACAAACCACTTGAGCTGTAGTCATCCACAAGCACGATCTCCTTCAGCAGATGAGCTGGTGTTCTGTCTATGATGCTCCGGATGGCTCTCTTTATTATGGACAGGGCTTCATCCAAGTAAATCAACACCACGCTCAGGGTAGGAAGGTCCCTGGGATATTTCTTCCCTAAACAACTAGATTTCAAATGAAAGGGGAGGGACATCAGATTAGGAATCACGAGAGAACAAATTGTGTTTCACTTCTACACTCTCTACTGGCTCAAACAACAAAAGGTGCTCTCCTGGAGTGCTGGTCATGTTCTATGATCCAGACTTCGGATCGCAAGAGCAGTGGGTCAACACTGCAAGTCACATCAGAAGCCAACTATGACTGGGATTCCTCTAAAAATAGTGTACAATAAGCCGAGCACTACTAGGATAGTGTTGAATAGACATCCTGGGTTCTCTGAGCTTTCTGACAAACAGCAGAACCTGTGATTATTTTTTCACATCTTTAGCACTTATATCATCATCACTTTCAATAACTGCTTTTTCCAATTCAGTGTCACAGTGGCCTGGAGCCTCACCCAGAAAGCACAGGGTACAATGTGCATCACAACCTGGACGTGATGTCAGTCCATCGCAGGGCATAAGCAGACAAAAACAAACACAGACTCATAGAATAAACGCCAGTTTTTTTTTATCAGAAGCCAATTAACCTATACTATACTGAAGAGTATTTGATATACAAAATAATTAACTTAAAGTTAAGCAGGAGGAGTAGCAGGAGGGCTAGATCGTCAGAGTAATTAATGCATTATTGTAAGTGCTGCAATATTATAGACCAGTGCCTCAGCTCTGTCACTGGAGTACTAAATGCCAAGTGATATAATTAATGAGAAAACCAAACTTTACACACAATAAGTACAGCAGTTTTATAGCACAAAACCTCCTGGACAACACTTATATATGAAAGGGAATGTACCTGGGATCCCTGGTCTCAGGGAGTTTTCTGTCCAGTGGCATCTTGTCACTCAGATACACATTATAGCCATATCTTTTATAGAGCCATTCTGCTTTCTTTTGCTCCACTTCTGATAAATGATCTCCCCACTTCTCAAAGAGGTTCGACTTCGGGAAGAGTTTTTTGAATACCCTTTTCTCTTGGTTTGTCTCCACTTTTGTGTCCCTTGGCTTTTTTTAATCCTTTTCCTACCTCAGCTGTTTCACCTTTTGCTCAGCCTTTTCTTTGTCATCCAGCCGCTTAGCTATTAGGGAGAAACATATCAAGAGACCGGGCTGATTTTACGGATCAATGACCACAAATCGCAGAGTGACCCATAACTCTGTAACTGATTATGCTTTTCTCTTCTTGACTTAAAGAATGTGGCAGTGTAGCATGTTGGGTATTTCTCTGGACTCATTACTGGTAGGTTGTGGGTTCAAGTCCCTGCTGTAGATGTTTCTGTTGTACACTGAGTAAAGTAATTTACCTCAGTTGCTCCAGATCAGCCAGTTGTTTTGAAAGAGGACCTGCACTTCTCGGGAGCGGACTTTGTGATTGACTGGCATTCTGTCCAGGGAAGGGATATCAAGTACATTCTACTCACTGTCATTGAAACCAGGACATTGAAACTAAAGGAATGTTTATTTTAATAAAAGCTAACAAACTGTTTATCTTTTAGCTTCCTAACTGCGTATAACCCTGGCAAGAGGAAACATACCAGGGGGCATCTATAGGTCAGTGGAAAAATGCAGCTCATGTCTTAAATGCAGTAAATGGGCAGTCGAATGTCCTGTTCTGTGAATCAGGAGTTGTTTTTCTCTACACGAGCTTGCATAAGAATTGATGGTTCATTTTAGGGATTTGGTAATCTATGTCAAAGGTATGAAGCTCATTTGTCATAGTGTATAAAAAGCACTGAGCAACGTCTTTCGGAGAGACTAGCTTTTGCAAGCTGCTCTCCCGTATGCATGTGAAATAAACGAATCTTCTTTCTCCAACATCTGAATTCTGTCATTTTATATGATTCTACAAAACCAAAGGCCTTGACGCGTTTATATAGAATTGTCCACCTACCAATTGGTCTAATTGGTTCTTTAGGTCAGCAGAACAACAGTAAACCTTAAATCAGCAACAGATTCAGGCCTGACAATGGAGTTAAAGTGGTCTAATCAAGCCATATTTTATCCCTTTATCTTAGGTCTTGTGCGGCTGATGAATGTCAGTTTATCTTGAATCATATCTGTGTCTGTTAGCTAATGCAATCCAATATTAATTGTAGCAGTAGCTTTATTACATCAGTCTTTCTATTGCTCTATTGCACTGTGTATCTAGGTCACTTAGAGTTGAAATGGTGCTACTTCATCTATTGGATTATTTTACGTGTTGGCTTGGATAAAGGCATCTGCTAGATAAATTATTTAATTTACTTATTAATAATAACAATACATCAGGACTGGGACTTGCATTTATTGGTTATTTTCCAACAACATTTCAAATCCTCTCAAATGGTAAATCATAGTTGTAAATCATCAGTGGGAGATTAACTCTTGTTTTCATTTAAAAAATGTATATGTTGCTTGTGGGATCAGTGCACATTCTGTACATAGCTACTTCATTAATCAAAACATGTTTGCAATCTTTTTCATATCAAACCCTGAGGAAGGTAAAGCAGGCTACACAGGTTTAGGGACAAACTGAATGGTGAACCAAGCATTCAGCAAATAAGGTGGCACCACCAGAACAAACCTGTAGAAGCAATTAAACTTGTTTTAGTCATCATTAATAGACTTTTGAGGGAGTTGAGGATCTGAATCATGGCAGAATACATTAAACAGTCATGATGTTAAGCCAAAAGTAATGGCTTCTAATGCCTCTTCATCCAAAAACTGTCACGTCCTCTGCAGACAGAGGGCCCTCCTTCTCTGTCCTGTGTCTCATTTCTGGTTCTTTGCTGTCCTTCCGGTGTTTCTCTCTCTCTGGAACTATATTTTTCCGGGTCTTTCAGTCTGCCTTCGCTCAGCATTTCGTTCGGTTGTCCTGAAACCCACCTAGCACCAGGTCGCCCCACGTCCGCTAGCTGAGGGCATAGGTTTCTATACGGCATTTCCTGAACAGCTGAGCCTGGGCTAACCCCTGTCTCGTCGCTATGCATAGGGTCTTTTCGCTCTCCTGCCATTCCACGGTTCGTCCTTTCTGACTTCCATGACAAAAAAACACTCTGTGAAGTCACCCTGTAACCTACTAGAGAGAAAGACCTTCCCATGATGAATACCTGCTTATTCCCTGCTATTGGGACCCAAACAAGGAAGATTATCCTAACAACCTCCCCTCTGTTGTGATCTGTTTCTTACATTCCAAATCAAATCCAACAAATTGTCAAATCCAATTCCTACAATATCACAAAGTAAATAAATTGTATAATCATGGTAATATCTATAAACATCTAAAATGCCACGCAAATTTACCATGGTCAACTTTTTAAGGGGTAATTAAGTTAAGTGGTCTGGTTTTACAATGACAGTGCATGCTTATAGTTATTCTCAACCAAATCAGTTTCCTTCTGTTGGCATTTTTATGCATCTGTTTGTTTTTCAAATCTCAGTTTAGATTTTAGGATTATTTAGAGAAAAGGAATGTAAGTCTCCACGAAAGAGAATATAATTTTTGCCTGAAGCATTATCCATATTGTGGCTTTGATCGTAAGCTCTAGTAAGTTGTGGTCACTACGAAGTATTTCCTCCAAGAATGAGAATACAATGAAATGTCTATGTTTATTGGTTACACTTCTTGTTTGAATAATTCTTATCCCTTTTCATTCTAGCCTTTTATTACACTTAGATTTAAGTGTTATTAAAGTGTTGCCTTGACAAGCCAGCTTGGGCCTCTGAGTAAATCCAGAGAAATGTGGCTAAGAGACCCCTCTGAGAGACATCGTGAAGGTGTACAATACAATACAATGATATACAGTATAATGCAGATGGGCTCCATCTGTAGTCTGTTTCTCCCAAGACAATGGGTCCGAGGTCACTGCTCATCACCCTAAGGAAGATCCACCAAAGGAGGGACTGCTGGGTGGGTACCAGAACTATACCCAATAATACCCTGAACCAATCACAAGCTGTGATGTTGCACCTTATAAGCTAGCATCATTTTTAGTATGGTTTAGTTACTAGCTCCTCATCTCACTCCAACTCAAGGGGCAATCTGACTTTCCCAACCATGTGCAAAGCAGCTCGGGTCAGGACTTAAACTGGTGTCCAAGACCAGTGAGTCAGTAAGATATTCTGTCCAAGATATTCTTTCTGCCATAAAATTAATCTTTAAGGATGAGACAACAATCTGTGACGATGGAGAAGGGAATAATATAAACTAGTTAATCAAAACTAGTCAGTGTGTTCTTTGGAGCATAAAAACTCCTCACAGAAAGGCACCCAAGTCCAGAATAGAATCCAAGACCTAAGAGCTGTGATTACTGTTATTATTGTTATTATTACGTTTTGGGGGTTATTTTCCCTACAAACCATAATTCTAAAGTCAAATTTGCAGTTGAAAACTTACAGAGTTCACTGATGTGGTCATCCATCTGGTTAAATCTTCTCATTATTGCTGAATACATTTCCTTGACACTTTGACGAGATTCTGTCAGCTCTGACTAATGCACATCTTTTGTAGTTATTACAAAAAGTACTGTCCCTATACTGGTTATTATAAAAGCCAATCTCTTCAGCCACAACAGTCTCATGTTTTGTTGAAATATTTTCTTGTCCCTTTCTTTTTTAAGAAATCTCTGTGATTTTTTTTCTATCGCACCAAACCGTGATTCAGTGATGTTCTGATTATAAAGAGCAGCTGCTGTTCCTGTATTTCACAGAAGAAATACAGGTACATTTACTCCACCCTCTGTCGCTTAAAAGATTACTTTCAGAAACAGGTAAGGCAGGAAAAGACAAATCAATCTACATGTCACATAAGTTGGAAATGCGAGATTGTGCCAGTCATTCATTAATTCATTTCACGAGGAATGACGGCAGCCGAAAGCTTGGGAGAAATTAGAATTGTTTATTGAGATGTGGAGATTTGGCGTAACCCGCTTGGCTGAGGGCCAACCTCCCGGCCGTTGGACGTTGAGGATAGGACCCCCATGCGACCAATTGGGTAGCTGCAAAGGTGGAGAGGGGGTGGAGGAGGGATGCAGAAAACGAACGAGGAAGAGGAGAGGGTGAAGTTTGATATATATGGAGACCAGTTGCTTATGTCAGGATTAGTGAGAACTGCGGCAGCTGTGTCGAATGAGCTCGGCTGCTTTCATTCCTCCCGAACTTTCATTAAAAACTCCATTCATTAAGTCATTCAACAATAACTATTGTGCGTCTCCCAGCACCAAGTGGCAAACAGGCAGGAGAAGTCTATCATGCCAAAAGAAAATGCATGGTGTTTATAACAGAGGTTAGGGAAGAAGGTAACATCCTAATCTTGCACTTTTCTGCCAGCCTATGTATATACTGTACGACTCACGCAAAGGACAAGCCAGCCAGTCTTGCCACCTCCACTGGTGGCTACTGTTATGCTGCATCTGTCATCCATCGCAACAAAGAACAGAACCACTTTATCACTACAACTTCAACACAATGATCTGCGCCATACACAGGTAAACACAAAGCAGCACGAGCACAATTGCAAGTCAGTTCAACAATACACAGGGTAGAATATAGAAACACAACACACAGTAAATTCATGGCTTTTGCACTACAGCCTTCCTTGTCACGAACACGGACTGAAATCTGTGTCAGATCTTGTAGTAGACACTATGCGATGCGGTAAGAGCTGGAGAAAACAGGAGGCGTGGTAAAAGGAAACACACAGGGGTTTAATAGTGCACAAAATAATCGTGACAATCCGTGAGACAGTGAACGGGGAAGACAGAGAATGGCATCCAAATCCAAACGGGTCCAAGGGCAGGTCAGGGCACAGTCCAAGAGTCCATCAACGAAGAACCCATCCTGGGACGCGACAAGGTTAAAATCCCCGGGAGAGGGGAAAACATGGACAGGCAAAACATGGAGGTCCTAAGGTGATGGGGCGAGATCCTCCAGACCCCGGGCTCAGGAAGCGGGAGGTGTCCGGGATGAGGCCTACGCCCTCAGGAGACGGACGTAGGGTTTCCTGGTGTTAGGCAGGCCTCGCGACATCTTTACCCTAATGGTGAGCGCCAAGGACTGGAGGAGCTAGTCTTTAAATAATAAAGCTAAGAGGGTACACCTGGGAAGCTTAACAATCAAAAGGACAATAATTGGAGCAGTGGAGCGCCCTCAAGGGAGGGATGTCGGGCGTGACAGTCCTGACACAGGTCATAAATATGGTGCCACCAATTGTACTGTAAGGCAGCGTCTCACTATAAAGAAGAAATGTCCCTTTGTTGACTCATTTGCCTGACAGTCTAGCTTGAGGGGCAGTGGGTTTCTAGCCTCTTTGTACAAGCAGGAGGGTCTGGAAGGATGCCTTCCCCGAATCGAAACTCAGATTTAGTTGCCTGACCTTTTGCAGTCAGGTCCCCAGTCCATTTATTGCAAGTTTGACCCCACCACTAACAGCCTCCATGTAGGAAATCTGTAGGCCATCATCGGGCTGTTGCATTGCAAAACAATACCAGTGCCCAGTTCAACACAACCTATTAATGCGACACAATATTATTGTAATGATACAGTACTGTAAGAATAAGGTGCGACTATTAGGTTTTTATCTTTGTAATGACCGGCTTCTATTTTCATTATCTGTCCATCTTTTTGATTCATTGGATAAACCTTTTGTGGTTTAGCGCATTATTTATTTTGGCTTGATTAAAAACACGACCATAACTGAGAAACAAATTCATGGAGATTGATCTACCCTGTCATTTACACTTTTATCAAGGAATTGCATGTTACGCTTTTGGACTTCCCAAGATTCCTTGTTCTAAGTAAGCTGCTTCGCTGCTTTGATTCTGATTCCAGAAGTGGGATCACAAGATGGAAAATAGAACCTACAGTACAAAGAGTACCGTATGCTTAAGGAACTGCTTGTGTTTCTATGCAAATAAAGTTACACCTACAATGCAAACACGGAAAAAAAAAAGATTGTGAAATAATGCTAGTGTGTGCTATGTTGCACAACATGGTGGCTATATTTATATCCCTGCCTTTCAGGTGGAGAGGTGAGAAATGAGGTCGGATGTACAACATGTAAAGAGGAAAAAAGTCTTTAATTTGTCAAAATAATTGTTCCCTTTTTTGCTTTCGATGGTAGTTATTTGCCCAAAGCAGAATTTAACCAGGGCCAGGGTGTAAAATCCCTTCTTCTTCAAACATGGGATTTTTAATAACCAAGTAGTCAAGATTATGGTTTAACATTTCCTTTTGAAGGATCCATCTGCTCTTCCACAAACACCAATTAAATAAGCTCCCTGGTTTTCCTTAGCAGTCTCCTATCCCAGCTCTATCTGGCCTTAGATTCTGAGATCTGATGACATGAGGCTGGAAATTTAGATTAATCTTGAGAATAAACTTGCTTTAATTACAATGTTTCTTCAAGAACAGTAATATACAGTAGCATACGTTGGCACAAATTGGCCTCAATGGGCATGTGGCTGTCCAGTAACCTTTGTTTTGTCTTGGGTTTTGCTCACTCTCCTTAGTAAACATTCCCTGTTTTACTATCAGTACACTAGAATGTAGAATTTGTCAGGGAAGTGGCACCAGAAAAAGACTTGAGTCAGATGTTAAACATTGCCCTCTATGGGCAAACTTCACAGAAAAGCAGACTGGCCTAAATACAAAGGCAAAAAAACAATATTTAAAGATTTTAAGATCTTATTTTAGAGTTATACGTTGTAGAAAGATTTCATATAGACATCTGTGATTCTAGTGTGGAATTCTGGGAAAATATTAACTTTTACAGTTCGTGCATCGCTGTTTGAACTACTATACAGTTTGTGCTTTAACTGACATTTCAAGATTTGTTTTCCTAATAATATGAATACTAAGACTGTTTTTCTCATTAGTGTCTGTATCTGTCTGCCTTAATTCAACACTGTGCACATGTAAATGCAACAAAATGTATTAATTGTAAATTAATTTCTTCATGGGGTAAGAAAGCATAAGTACCTCCTGATGATGGTTTATCAGTTCATACATTGAAAGATAAAAATAATACGATTCCCAGTGTGTATTTTTAAAAGACACTCTCTTTTGTTGATATTATTCTTTTAAGTGATGTACAATATGCATTATTTATGAGCATGTTTATTGTTGTCTTTGTTATTGCTGGAAATAATTCATAATAGTGACCTTTTGCAGATCATACTAATATACAGTATGTACTGTGTGTGAAACCAAGCAAAACTAATTGTGAAAACTTCCCTTGAAGTACATCGGCTCGCGTGACATTGTTTTTACAATACATGCAGATATGTTGAATATTTTTTATAGAAAATTAACATGGAATGCTTTCATGACACTATTTTTTTATTTACATAAACATACAAAACTACCTTACAAACTTACTTTTTTTGCGTAAATTGTGAAGTGTTCAGTCGGTGTAAAATTACATCTTATCTTTTTTATATATATATTTTTTACTCCAGATAGCTTTAACCGTCGTATTATTCGCCACACCCCCTTTGTGGGTTATAGGTCACAAATATGGCGGCGCCCATTGGAAAAGTATGTCAGTGTTTCACTATAAAGAAGAAAAGTCTCTTTCTCCTCTCATTCGCTCGACGGTCTAGTTCGGCTGGCAGTGGGTTTCTAGCCTCTTTGTATAAGCGGGGAGTCTTGAAGGATGCCTTCCCCGAATCGGCGGCTCAGGTTGAGTTACCCGAGCTTTTGCAATCCGGTCCCCAGTCCATTTACTGCGGGTTTGACCCCACCGCTGACAGCCTCCATGTGGGAAATCTGCTGGCCATCATCGGGCTGTTGCATTTCCGAAGCGCCGGACACCACGCCATTGCCCTCATCGGGGGGTCTACAGCCCAGATTGGAGACCCCAGTGGGAAAACGACCGAAAGGGAGCCGATCTCAGGGGAGACCGTGGAAGAAAACACGCGGGGGATCAGAAGCAGTCTGCAGCGGATCTTCGCCAACCACGAACTCTGTTTTTGCGGCGACTCCAAAAAGCTGGGCACTGTGACCGTCCTGAACAACGCCAGCTGGTACCGGGGCTGGAATGTCGTGGACTTCTTGTCCCAGGTTGGCCGGCATTTCCGGATGGGGACCCTGCTCAGCAGGCAGAGCGTGCAGTCCCGGCTGAAAAGCGCAGAAGGGATGAGTCTGACCGAGTTCTCCTACCAGCTCTTTCAAGCCTATGATTTCTATCACCTCAGCAAGCATCACGGCTGCAGGATACAGCTCGGGGGAACCGACCAGCTGGGCAACTTGATGTCGGGACACGAATTTATTCACAAGTAATTATGTGCAAACTCGTAAGATTCGAACAAGGCGTTTTTAGTTGTCGTTTATGATGATGATTTATATAGCGCCTTTAGAAGTGGCTTCTCAAAGCGCTTTACAGAACAACAACAAAAAATACACATACAAAAGGAGAGGAGATAGTAGAAGGAGGTATGGGAAGCAAAGGGGCACACAACCAGTTAAATAAAAGCCCTTCTAAAAAATATTTGAAGTTATGTACACGTACGAACCTGGTGTTTAAAAGTATGTTTCTTTTGAAATGTTTAAAACAACCCACATGTAAAGAATACCACATTCAGTTTACAGGTCATGCATAGTAGTTACGCAAGCTCCTATCGCTTGTTTTTATTTAAACATCAGATGCAGTGTATTTTTCAGGTAGTGGTTTATGTCTACTTGTTATTCTACTTCTGCTGTACCTCTTTGTAAACTTCTATAAAACGTTCTTTTAAACAAAATACTAACTTAAGAGTTCCAACTGGGAGTTTAAACCTGTTTATAATGAGCAGTTTGCTCCTTTCCTGGAAAAAAATGTTGAAAAACAAGGGGAAACGGTTAATACTGTAGGTTACTAATTAGACTTTAACAGTAGACTGTTTTCCCTAGGTAAAATCATCTAGAAATCTCTTAAGACCTAATATGAACAAAGTCTTCAATTCCAATATGCCAACAGCAGTCTAAAGTGTTTGTTTTGTTCTAACTGTTTTGGGATGTCGCTTCGAGAAATCTTATGTAAGTGTAATATGCAGAGACGGCTTGTTACTAATGCAAAAGGAACTGAAAGCAACACAGCCTTTATGCAAAGGTAAAGGAAAATATGAGGTACCTCATATATACTTCTTAATTAGTTAAATCCACAATTAAAGCATAGTGCTCTTTTGTTGCTAAAATTGTCATGACTAAGTCCACTTGGCTGGGATTAGGTGTACTGTTCAAAAGCCAAATTGTTTGCTGTGTTTTGTGAATACTTAACACCTCAAGTGGTAGTTCTGGAGTATGTTGGCTGTGTTATGGGAGAGGGAGCAGCTGTATGGAGGGGGGGCACCACAAGGAAATGACCAGACGCGAAATAAGGAGGGAGGCACCTTTTCACATTGATCTCTCCTCTGACGCAAGGAGAAGGGAGACCGTCTGCTGGTCCACAGGATGTGATGCGCCGCGTTTCATGTTGCGTGTTTCGTTTGATGGCAGAGTCTCTGGGCAGGAGGTGTTTGGCCTCACGGTCCCGCTGGTCACAAGTTCCACAGGAGACAAGCTGGGGAAGACGGCGGGCAACGCGGTGTGGCTGAACAGGGACAAGACCTCACCTTTTGAACTCTACCAGTACTTCATGCGACAGCCAGACTCCGTGGTGGAAAGGCAAGTAACCCCCAGTGAAGTGGTGTGTGCAGTTACAGACACGGTTGTGTGTGGAATCCAGTGTCTTCACACCTCCATTGCAGGTGGAGGTCTGCATTGCCGGTGGCATATTCCCCAGTTGTTTTTCCCTTAAATATTCCTTGAGTTGAAGATTGTTGCAATTGCACAGATGAAGACCACTGTTTTGATTACTTATGTGATATAGTGTTTTTTTTTTTTTTTGCCACTTTTTGCACTTGTTGCAATTCCCCTCTGGTGTGTCTCACTGATTGGTCACTGACTGTCTCACTGGTATCTTAACACTCCCACGTTTGGAGACTTGAACTGTGTGTTGCTTGTCATGTGTCACCAGTTCACACAGCAAGTTGTGGATAGCAGTATAGAGAAGGGTTTAAGGCTTTGGAGGTTGTGGGTTCACATCCCAGACTGGGCACTGTTGGCCTCTTGTGCATGGTGCTTCAGTGAAAAGCTCAGCTTTCTGATTGATTAAAGTATATTCAAATGTCAGGCACATCTTCTTAACAATAAAACTAGGCAAAAGTTATAGCTAGGGAGATACTTAAGCTGACCACAAGGCCTGCACCCCAGATTCAGTTGTTGGGCGTTCAGTACATCGTTAGTGGGAAGGGTGCCCACATAGTTTCGGGGAGGGTGTCCACTGTATTTTTCATTTCCAGCAGATGGTTGAGTTCTGTTCACAGAGATATGTGAAATACACTTACAAGTGTGCTAAAAAAGGATAGCTTTAGGCTGAAATAAGACACAAAATGCATAGTGGGATGAATAACCAGCAGGAATGGTTTGATGGTGTAAAGCAGACCATTTTTAATAGTGTTCATTCTGCCAACAGGTTTTTTTTATGTAATAAAAATGGTCACTTTTATAGTTTGTCCACTAGGTTGCAATGTTGGCCATGGAACTCCTGTTTTTATTTTACACCGCACATTTATTGAAAGATCAGAAAGCTTCCAGTGATAAGTGATTCCTGTTTTTTTATTACTGTCCTGAAAAAAGCAATCGGATCAGAACCAGAAATTGACAATCAACACACATTTCCCAGCTCCAATTCTAGGTATGCTTGCATTGTTTTACAGCGTTTAGAGACCAGGAACATCCAAGTTAAAAGTTACATCTAATAGGTGTCTGTGTGGATGCAGAGATTCAGCTTCCCAGTAATGTTCATCAGCATTAGCTAGTCAGCAGTATCAACATTATTTTGAAAATGTATTACATCAGTCAAATCAGATCAGCTTCTATAAATATAAATGCCATTAAATTTGGCTTTGTCAGTTAAAAGTTTAGATTGAGATTCCTTTTTTGAGTCTGATGAGACTTTAGCGTGAGATTTTCTCACGTTTTAAATTAGAAAATGGGGAAATTTTCATTCTGGGGGGGGGGGTATTTTTACAAGGTATATGGAAGAATCGGCTTCATGCTAAGAAATGGTGTGCACGTTCTCTTGGAAGTCTTCCGGTTTTTGCTCAAGGTACAGGGGCCGGTGCTATAAAATGATCCCTTCCCCCATTCCTGCAGGTACTTGAAGATGTACACATTCCTCCCTTTGCCCGAAGTGGAACACGTGATGGACCAGCACCGCAAGGAACCAGAGAAGCGCTCGGCTCAGAAACGCCTGGCAGCCGAGGTCACCAAGCTGGTTCACGGCAAAGAAGGCTTAGACAGTGCCAAAAGGTATTTTGTGGGGCTGTGGCCCTCTTAAAACCTGGCTTCTCCCTTTGACACAAGTATGGTTTTCCTTATGTTCTATTTCCATGGTGGCGGTAGGGCTCCTGTTCCCAAAGAACTGACAATCCGCATATAATACCCATATATGGGCCAGGCCTTCCCAATCCAGTCCCGCATGATCCCACCGTCTCCTGGTTGTGACCCGTTTGAGTACTGGATCATTTATTTCACCCTCCCATTTAACAAATCAAAATCTACTGCGGTGCTTCCAGTTACTCGTAGATACTTCAAACTTCAGTTTAGATACTTTGTAACTTCAAACCCGCACCCTGTGGGAGCAGAAGGCACATATATTTACTCCTCGGGTGTCGCACTCAAATCTTGGAAGGCCCAGTGTCTTCTGGGTTTTCGTTTCCAATGTGGACAGTCAATTAAACCAGAACCCTAATTATATTTTTAACTGGATATGCATGTTTCTCAATGTTCTTAACAGTTGGTAACTCAAAACATGCACTTATTGAAGTAGAAGTTGTTAAACGTCTCAGAGCCTGGTTACTTGTATGTTAGTTGTACAGTTAACTATATGAGATATGAAGTTACTAACCTACAAATGTTGCCAGTCTTTTGAAATGGGATTTCTCAGTGAACCGTAAAATGTAATAGATTAGACCTCTTCAATTTGGGATTGGAGATGCTTAAGTAATCGGGGATATGTTTTGCTTGAGGGTGCCTGGAGAGACATTTTCTGAATTTCTGCATGATCCCTTAAGTGCCTAACTGAACTTATGATTTGCTTAATTGGACATGTCGAAGCCTTTCCTTGGCTTGCAGAAGCTGGAGGTTTAAAGAGACCTATAAATATAAAGTCCTTCTAGACTGAGGGTTGGGCACTTGATTAAGCTGTTGAAACAAAACATTTAAGGAGTTTCCAGCTGTAGTTAACAATAAAATAATTTTATTTGTATATTATTTTTGAAAATGAACACGAGTAATAATATAGTTTGTATATTGGGACATATAAAACAGTATAGTATAGGCCCTGGACAGTCCAAATCTTTATATCGTTGTCAGTTGAAACACTGCTTCAGCTAAACTAAAAATCGGTAACTTTGTTTTGTAATGTTACTGAGCCTCATTTTTAAAGACGTCTGTGTGGTCACTGATATCAATTATTAACGTATTCGATTTACAGTTGAAATAGATTTGCCATCTGTTAAAGCATGATTTCATTTTTCCTTTTGGTGTTGATTCTGCAATAATAAAAACAATGCTAATTATAGTACTTAAACACTTTCTGTTGTCAAATGCATTCTTGCTACCCAAAACAGGAACTAGTAACAATTAGTGTGTGAGTTGGAGGATTTTCTGACTGCTTTGTAAAGTCAATTGAATTGATTGATTTTTCAAAAAAGTGCACAAGTCTTTAGGATTTATTTTCCTCTCATTTCCTGTGTGGTGGGTGAGAAGATGGTTGTGCTCATTATAAGATGGATTTAATAGGTGTGGTGACTGAACTATGTCAGCAGCCATATCCCTCTGCAACTCTGGCAGCCCCTCTGAAGCTCAGCAGGTGTGAGCCTGGTCAGTACCTGGGTGGGATACCTCCTAGGTAAGCTGAGGTTGCTGCTAGAAGTGGTGTTAGTGGAGTCAATAGGGGACGCTCACCCTGGGATCCATGTGGGTCCTAATGCCCCAGTACAGTGACAAGGACACTATAGTGTAAAAAGGCGCAGTCCTTCAGATGAGATGTAAAACCGAGGTCCTGACTCTCTGTGGTCATTAGAAATCCCAGGGAGGTTTTTGAAAAGAGTAGGGGTGTTACCCCAGCAATCTGTCCAACTATCCCCCTGATCTTTACCAATCATGGCTTCCTAATAATCCCCATCTAGGAATTGGCTTCATTACTCTGCTCTCCTCCCCACTGAGAGCTGGTGTGTGGTGAGAGTACTGGGGCACTCTGGCTGCGTCGAATCATCCAGGTGGGGGCTGCACACTGGTGGTGGTGGAGGGGAGTCCCCATTACCTGTAAAACGCTTTGAGTGGATTATCCAGTAAAGCACTATAAAAGTGCAAGGAATTATTATTACGAAGTGGTGTACTAATCTGTGGCATTACGGGTGATGGCAGGAGTACCAACGCCCTCTACCATGGCAGCCTGCAGGCCCTGGAGCAGATGACGGATGAGGAGCTACAGGAGCTTTTCCGAGAGGCTCCATTCTGTGAACTCCTGCTGGAGCCGGGGACATCTGTCCTGGATGCCTGCCGCCGAGCCAACGCCATTCCAGAGGGAGCCAGAGGGTGAGTCACATCCCGCGCAGTTGAGCTTTTCTGATCGTCACGAGGCGCTCTCAATAACGCCTCTAATATCAGCTCACATCGGGATTAGAGAACAGTCTGCAAGCAAAAGAAATGTCTATTTACAGGTCAGGAAATCAAAAATACAGGGGCTATCAAAAGTATTCACCCCCCTTAGACTTCACTGTGGAATCATCATGTGTGTAATTGGTTTCTTCTGCCACTGGTTGACACAGAACACTCAATAATGCAATTCTGCAGAGTCTCCTAAATTCATTTTAACTAAAAAACAGAAAATAACTGATTGCATAATTAAACACCCCCTTTGAATCAATATTTGGTAGAGCCATATTTGGTAGAAATTACTCATGGCTGTAATTTCTCTCAGTCTAACAGCTTTGCACATTTGGACACTACAATTTGGACCCATTCTTCTTTGTACATTTGCTTAAGACCCCTCAAGTTGGAAGTGAACCTTAGGCGAACAGTAATTTTCCAATTCCTGCCACAGTTTCTTGATTAGATTGAAGTCCAGGCTTTGACTGGGCCACTCCAGAACGTTAAGAACATTGACTTCTTTTATAATGATTAATAATAATAAATGCTTACACTTGTATAGCGCTTTTCTGGATACTCCACTCGAAGCGCTTTACAGGTAATGGTTTCCTTTAAAACCACTCCAGTGTAGCTTTGGCTGTATGTTTTGGGTCATTGTCCTCTTGGAATATGGCCAGCAGCCATATCACCCTGCAGCTTACAACTGGCAGCCCCACTGAAGCTCAGCAGGTGTGAGCCTGGCCAGTACCTGGATGGGGAGACCTCCTGGGAAAAACTAAGGTTGCTGCTGGAAGAGGTGTTAGTGGGGCCAGTAGGGGGCGCTCACCCTGTGGTCTGTGTGGGTCCTGATGCCCCAGTATAGTGACAGGGACACTATACTGTAAAAAAGGCGCCATCCTTTGGATGAGACCTAAAACTGAGGTCCTGGCTCTCTGTGGTCATTAAAATTCCAGGGCATTTCTCAAAAAGGGTAGGAGTGTAACCCCGGCTAAATTTTCCCTTGGGCCTTACCAATCATGGCCCCATCTATGAATTGGCTTCATTACTCTGCTCTCCTCCCCTCTGATAGCTGATGTGCGGTGAGCGTTCTGGTGTACTATGGCTGCTGTTGCATCATCCAGGTGGGAGGTACACATTGGTGGTGGTGGAGGGGAGTCCCCATTACCTATAAAGCGCTTTGAGTGGAGTGTCCAGAAAAGCACTATATATGTGTAAGCAATTATTATTATTATAGAGAGTGATGTTGTTCAAGAATGACTCCGTCATTCACAAACTTAAAGCTTTCTCCAGATTTTGGACATAAACCATACAGTTGACACAAGATTAATTACTGATGCAGTGCCCTCCAGTTGTAATCATTCATACAATGAAGTAGAAACCAAAAACATCATATTATTATTATTAGTGTCTTGATTAAAACAATTCTAAAATTGTTGTTCCTTAAATATAATAGCATTAGACAGAACAACATCAGATTCAGGTCTTTCCTAATTTTCTGTTAGAATCAAGATAGGATTTTGACTGGGACAATTACTTTCTTCTCGATAACCACTCCAGTGTGGTTTAGGGTCAATGTTCAGCTCTGCTTTAGGTCTGCAGACTGAAAAGGTTTGTCCTCTGTAAGCTACCTGTATTTATCTCTGTCCGTTTTCCCTTTAGTCCTTGACAAACATCCGATTCCCTGCTCAGACACAGCCCCATAAAAATGCTGCCACCACCATGTTTCACAACAGACAAACACAGAGATGTTGTTTGGTGTGCTGTGTTTGGGTTTGAGCCAGATTTTCCATGCACACCAGGAAGTTCAGATTTTGTCTTCTCTGCCCTCAAAACCTTTTGCCACATGTTTGCACTATCGCTTAAATGCTTTGTTGCAAAGTCTGTGCAAGATTGGAGGTGGCTTTGCCACATTTTATGGAAAGACTGGGTTATTGTTGACTTGATATTAGTAGTGTGTTAAATTCGCAAAAAAAAGTGCACATGGAAATAAAGATTACCCTCCCAATGAGTCCAATGACTTATATGCTTCCAAAAGTAGAGCAATATAAATGTAAAAAAGTCTTAGTGTAGCCTTTTTTCACTTGCATTTCTTTTGGTTGGCTTTGCAAAAAAAATAATACAAATGTATTTTTCTTTATGCTGAAACACACAGGTATCAGATGGTCACTGAAGGGGCTGTGTGGATAAACCACAGCCGAGTCACCAATCCCGAGCAGGTGCTGATCCCCAGGGAACACATTCTGTTGAACGGACTGACCCTCATCCGGATAGGAAAGAGAAACTTTTACATTGTCAAGTGGCTGAATCTGTGACGCAGTTCTCGGTTTCCACCCTTCTCCACAACAACACCACTTGTTGAAGAAGAGAAAGCAAAGTTAGCTTATTCTGGACTTCTCCAACACCGTTTAGATATAAAAGATATATGTTAAATAAAGATATTCTGATTTGTCATTTTTTGTATTACCTACGTAATCTTTGCATTAAGCATTAAGATGCTGAATTATCAGCTCATTCTGTTAACACATACTGTACCATACCTTATTTTGGATTTCCTCTGTGCCTTATTCTCCAAGAATGTGTATTTTGGGACAAATTATTTTATTCAGTATCAAAATTCAGGTTCGTAAGAGTCATCAGAGGTTCATGTTTGTGTGCATTCTTTTTACTTGGGACAAGAGTTATATTTTTAATAATAATAGTTCCTTACACTTATATAGTGCTTTTCTAGATGCTACATTCAAAGCACATTACAGGTACAAGGCAGCCTCCACCTGGATAATGTGATGGCAGCCATAGTATGCTAATACGCTCACCACACACCAACTATCAGTGGGGAAGAGAAGCCAGTTCATCGATGGGGATTATTTGGAGGCCATGATTGGTAAAGGCCAGGACACAAGAGTAACACCCCTACTCTTTTCAAGAAACACCCTGGAATTTTTAATTATCACAGTCAGCCAGCTAAAGAATTGTGTTTTTTTACAATATAGTATCTCCAACACTGTACTGAGGTGTTAGGACCCACACAGACCTCAGGGAGAGCACTCCCTACTGGCTCCACTAACTCCTACCACCTCTTTCAGCAGCAATGTTAGGTCTCCCATCCAGGTACTGGCCAGGCTCACACCTGCTGAGCTTCAGTGGGTTGCCAGTTGTGAGTTACAGCATGATATAGCTGCCTGCATTTTTAGTCATTCTTGAAGTTCTGTATAAATAAGGGCAGGGCCGATTTGAATTATTTACAGCTTTTTTGGATGATAACGTATTCTGCCTTTTTTTTTTCCATCCATCCATTTTCAAACCATTTCTTCAAATTTCAAGGTGCCAAAGGGTCCATCAGAGGGCAGACACACTTTCATTTAAGGCCAAATTTCCCAGAAGCCAAATAACCTGCCTTAGTCATTTGTTACATGAATTCTCAAGAGAAGATCAGTAGTGGGATCTGCAAAAGACAAAGCTCCTATAAAAACCAGTTTCACTCACCAAATGATATAATCATTTGTGATTGACGTATACGTCTGATAGAGGCTTTGCGTTTATATAGATCAACTTGGTCATGATAATGTTTGTGTGCATACTAAAAGAAAACTTATCTACAAATACACTTTACCTTGACCGAGCAGAATGATCAACACACATTATTGATAGTAAGGTGGTTTAATAAAAGATGGAAAAACAGACTAAAGGTATTTCAATCATGGCAGTCAGCATTTTTGAAGTTCCAAGTGCAGGGTATTGGCGAGATCCTGTTAGGTTATTACTATAGTCAAGAGAAAGCTCAGTGACAATTAAAGCATTTCCCTATAAACAGCAAGAGTTTGTCTCCCATGTCCCAGAAACCACGGAGCAGAAGCAACAAAAGGACATTTGGCAGTTCTAGGTATCCTGAACGTTAGTTAGCAGCTCCCTTCAAAGTTTTCATACCCACCACTGTGACCACTTAAAGGTCAGTCACCCTGTTGACCAGACAAGACCACAAAGAGATGTGTATTGTATACACAATCAGCTCACTGTATTCCGCCCCCAGAGGAAGAGAAAACGTATCTTGTTTTTAGGTGCAACATTTGCTTAAATTTTACTCTGAGCCAGGTTCAGCAGAGATGTTTATTTAAATTGCTCAGGCACAGAGAACCAGAGAAAAAATGAATGAAAGATTTTGCAATGGTATTTTAAAAGATCAGGGCTTAGCTGAAAAGAACATGATTCGCTAAAGGACAGTGCAATTAAGACAAAAGGTCTTTCTGCACCATAATACAGTAAATATTCCATTAAACAAAGGTTCACAATCAGAAAGTCTCACATTCCTGTTTAGGGTTGTGGCAACAAAAGCACAAGAGGGCACAATATGGACTACAGCCCGGACAGATCACCAGTTAATCGCAGGGCACACAGTAACACACATGCAATTTAGAGACATCAGGCCTCCAGCAGATCTTTGGAAGATCGAAACCAAAGCACCCAGTGGTAACTCACAAGGACCTGGGGAAAGCATGGACTATCCCCACAGATGTCTCGCCAGTACAGAATCAAATCCAGATTCCCTGGGTCTAGTCCCAAAGACTAGTAGGCTATACAATGTATACATTGGAAATCCACCCACAGTACAAATTGTGTTTGCCTTTGAAACGCTAATAAACGCATGTACTTTACTTTTAAGCCACTAGATGTCAGTGATAAACAGACGTTCTGGGGTCCGACAAACAATTTAGGTTTCGCGGCATTTTACTGCATTAGGAGTTTGTAGAAATAGCACATGTATTTATTCATAACAATAACTACATTCATATTATTATTCCAGTTGTGTGAATGACTGAAGAGCATTACTATTTGATTTTAGGGCCAGAAAAACTCTTCATATCACGCATTTATGCAAAGAACACCAGTCTAAGGTCTGAACAATTATGAAATTGCCTTTATTGCATTTATGCTTTGCACACTGAACAGTCACGTTGAGGCACGATGGTACATTTGAAAAATGTTTAATATTCTGATTTACCCTAAACTTTCAGTTATATATATATAACGATCAATGTTTTCATTTCTTTGGTACTGTCTATAGAATCCACTCCCAGGCACAATAAGGCACACTTTAAATTCTTTCCCCTTAAGAAAACATGTCGGAGCAGACAAATTTATAGCTTATTTTCTCGGGGGGTAATTTCCATACCGTTTTGTTTAATTTGCGATATGAAATGCACTCATCGTTTACAACTGTGTACTTTGGTAAAAGCTGACCAAATGTTATTCTATATTTACAATACAGTGAGACTTTTATTATGATGACAAACATAATTATATATTGTAGATGCAGGCAACACAATGGTACAGTGGTTAGCACTGCTGCCTCGCAGTGCTGGGACCCTGGGTTTAATTCCTGGGGTGCTGTCTGTGTGGAGTTTGCATGTTCTCCCCATGTTCACTTGGGTTTCTTTCCAAAGTCCAAAGACATGCTGGTAGGTTAACTGGCTTCAGGGGAAAATGGTGCGAGTGTGTGTCTGTCTGTGCCTTATAATGAACCTTTGTCCCATCCAAAATATAACCCTGTACTGGATGAAGCAAACGGATGGCTGGGTTTTACAAGACCTTTATTCTAATTTCTAAAATAATCTATTGTGCAGAAAACAAACAAACAAAAAACATTAAAAGGTCAAACTGCATCCAAGGAGTAAATAATACAGAACAAGACATGTTATGACAGCCTATGGTCAAGAGATTATAATGCCGAAGCTAGAAATGCAACTCTTAACACAGCCTATTGAACTGTAGCCTACAACAAATAATGTGCCCGTAAAAGACATGTTGTTGAGAAAAAAGCAAATCGATATTTGCCTGCATTTCCTTGCTCCTAAAAGATCAATTCAGCATGATCAGCATTCTTTCCCCCCAGGGCATTACCTCATCTCACATGTTCTTCTGCACGTCAACTTTATGACCTTGTAAACTCTTTGAGTAAACAACACGCACAATGCCTACTGTGTGCCATCATTATGGAGGAATATGCCAATATAAAAAAGTATTTACTGTAGCAAAGTTTAATCTGACAGTGATAAGACAGTGCCAAGTATGACGAGGGCTTTGTGCAAGAGTTGAGCACATACATAGCATAGCAAAGCTAACTCTACCTATTGTAACAAAATCACATCAGTGCCGGATCTCCCATTAGGCACTGTAGGCACAGGGCCTACAAAACATTTTTAGGGCCTACGAAAGAGGGAAACACTAGTGACTAACGAAAAACGAGCTGAAACAACACGCTTGTGCTCGACTCGAGGTGCTCCAAATCAATAGTCATACTCTATCTAGCGGCTGTTCTCTCGACTCGCTCCATCAATCACGTGGTTTAGCATTAGAATAGTTTAAAGTACGTCATGTCAGTCGGCGTCCTTCAATTGGCATTTATCCATCTTTTTGGAGTGAAAGTGCCTAGGGCCTACAAACACCAAACTCCAGCCCTGAAATCACATCGAAAATTAGTTCTGGTTTCTAATTTTATGGTTATGTACTGTGAACCAGTTGAAGTATAGTATGTATATTCTGCAAAGGCAAATCCCACTTTGCTCTAAATTTATTGTTTTGCTTTTTGTGCCACTTACTTTACTTTGTACCACTTATTTCATTAAGCTAGATTCTAATTCTCTGTTGTACCCTTATGTAATATTCCCACTGAGAATTACTGCTGTTCAGTAGCGTAAAATGTTATTGATGCAGCACTGTAGCTACAGTATATTAATGCTCATTATTGGCACCACTAATCTGTAACTAAAACAACTGTCCTAAAGCTAACCCTATCCCAAGCTCTCAAACTAACAATGCATTTGCACACGACTGAATCATTGTTCCATTTCCTGTGCCAGCGACATTGACCTTTTGAACTGAACGATACTGAAGGCCAGATTCTTGTTAAATGGTAAAGTGTACAAATATATTTTTCATATAACTGGATGTGCAGCAGGTCCTGCAGTTTTAAAGTAAGAACAAAAACATTTATTTAGGTGTAAAATATGTCCACAATATTGTAAATTCTGGTAAAACTGGAATACCGCCTATTAACAAGAGCTGGTGCTACAATCTCAATATATTTAAATCCACCTACACAAAGTTTTATCAAGTGATGTGCCTACACAGATGCCTTCTAACAGATAGAAAAATTTGGTTACTTTACATCACAGTCTCACACCACATTCTTAACAGCTCCAAAACAGATTTAACATTTTAACTGTTTCATTATTTGGTGTGTTAAAAGCTTTAAATTAATCCCATAATCAGTTTTTTTTTCTGTATTCTGGAATATACCCTTGAAAAGACATCACAACTGCAACATGACATAAAACATGTTCTAAATGTAAATTTATAAACACGTGCCAAAAGGTCTCTTCATTTTATTTGAACCTGTACTCCTAAGGTCAATTACTTACTGACACAGCTTTAAATTGCTACCATCATCCACTCTTTAAACGTGACAGACCTCAAGTCAACAGTGCCAGTAGTATCACTGCAATAAAAAATATGTAAGTGACATCATAAACTTTTAACAGCAGTATTTAATTATCATGGTACATAATCTAAATAAGCATGAAACAGAAATAAGAAGAGAAACCAAATCATTCTAACATTCAACACGCAGAACAGATTCGAAATTAGAAACATTTGTTCCTAATTCTAGACCTTTGACCTTCCTGAAGTCTTTGCAAAGTTTTTCCCCCCTTTCCAAAATAATTTTTTACTAAATGTATTTATTTTTTTAGTTATGGGAGAAAGTGTTAGAACACGGTAGTTTTAAAGAGTGATAGTAGACCATTCTCTGAATATAGTACATTTATTATCCAAGGGATCTTTTAACAGGGGAACCGTGAACCAAATGCTTTATGAGCGCCAAGTTCTTAATGAAGCTCATTATTTACTCATATGGTAAAACGGAACAACGCGTTGTTTGCTGCCGTGATAAACTCAGTAACAGGTTTAGACTAAAAATTCAATTTTATGACACAAAACAGCACAATTAATCATGTTCAATTATTGCATTGCCCGAGATGTTTACTTGCTACGGAAAACGTGACTCCGCCAAATCGTTTATTGAGCAAGGTTTTCGTCAATTAGTAGTGGACTAATAAAGGAAAAGTAAAAATGATCATTTCCACCGCATCCTACTGTACATTGGCACGGCACCATAAACATTGCATTACTACAGTTCAGCCGTACCCCTTTAAATCGACCCTAAAATGTGGCAGCCAAGCTAACAGCCTACTAATAACTGCCCCGTCTACCCAACCCATAGTATGATGGCGCTCAACCCTCTCTATACCTTTTTCTTTTTCGTTTCGTGGTTACTATTCCTTCGCCTGTATCACTACTCTCTCTGCTCGGGGAGTGACTTGCTTATACGTAAACAAAACACTTTAGATCATAGCAAGGTTGCTGCAGACACGCAGCCCCCAGTTTTCAAAAGCAACAAAACGCATTAAGGTGGACTAGGGGAGTTATCCCAAACCACCCGTTTCCAATCGCCTTTCGGGCGCCTTGTTTTGCTACAAAATGCAACGTAGTGCACGCCTGCGGAATTTATTCACGTTTAACACCTATAAGCCTTTGCTAATGCCAAGTCATGAGAAAAAAAAAACGGCTTGAGATTAGGGTCATTTATTCTTTCACGTCTCCAGAGTACTGTAGGTCAGAGGGAGATATTGCCCTTTTTTTTTTCTTCTGTATTAACGTTGTTGGTATCTGGAAGCGACTTTGCTTCCTCCGGCTACAATTCCTACTTCCGCCAAAACAAAACAAGCCTACCAAAGCTGGGCCGATCAGAAATCTGCGGATTTAAAGATCGCCGCGGAGGAATTTTTCCAAACGAACTAGAGATTCCGATGCATTTGGGCTTTTTTTTTTAATGATACGAAGCTGCAGAGACCGTAGAAACGAAAAACAGCGGTGCTCACCTTAAGAAACGTGGGCGGCTCGCTTTGCTTTAACCAATGAATCTCCTTCTCTGTTTAAGTCGATCTCGGTGTCAATCATTTTTTTTCTCAGTCAGCCTCCCTTCAATCGCCATATTGGGTACTGAAAAGGCTTGTCTGTTTTTTTTTTCCCCCCCGTCTTACTACAAGACTAAATTGACAGGAGTGGCTTTTGCAACTGCACTTTGTTTTGATGGTCTGCGGAGATTACTTTTGCTCGCGTTACAGTTTTCGCACGTCTTTTTCAGATCACGGCATGCCTGCGCTGGCGTTGTTGCTTGCAATAATATTTGGCGTTCGTGTCGGATCGATTTGAAGGAGGCGAACAGAATTATATATATATATTTTCATTTACTCTTGTTGTTTTTTTTTTTCCCCCTGGCGTGGAGAGAGAGGACAAAAAAAATGTCAAATGTCCGTCTTTCAAATGGTAGCCCGACGTTGGAGAGGATGGATGCGAGACCGTCGGATCACCCCAAGCCGTCGGCTTGCAGAAACCTCTTCGGGCTGGTGGATCACGAAGAGTTAAGGAGAGATTTAAAGGGACACTTGCAGGAGATGGAAGAGGCGTCCAAGGCGACATACAATTTCGATTTCGCGAATCACAAGCCCCTTTCGCCTGGGAGATACGTGTGGGAAATTGTGGAGGATACGGAGGTACCGCGATTCTACACGAAGCCGCCACGGGCGTCGAAGGGCATCTGTCCGTCTGGGAATATCAGTTTGGATCTTAATGGGAATCACAGCTGTGGGGGGACTGCGTGTCACGAAGGCACTGGGGACAGGCTTTCCGGGGACAGTGCGGAGAAACCGGCAAGTCAAACGGATTGCAGGGACCAGCGCACTACGCCGAGGAAAAGATCAGCAAGCCATGGTAGAGATCAGCTTCACGTTTACGAGAAAACAAAACAACAACAACAGCAAAAAAAAAAAAAAAAAGATATCGGGTGTATTTATTTTGGGTCGCCGATCTCACGGTTTCGGGAAAAAAAAGTCCAGATTTTAATTTTTTGTTTTTAAAGTGAAAGGCGTTGCGCGCATTCGAGGAGGTTTTCTTTTGTTTTCGTCTTGTATCTTATTTGATGTCGCGCTAATCGGAGCCGCGTCGGAGTGTTTCCGAGAGGCGAGTGGAGTTGCGTGCGTTTCGGGGGCGACCCGAGCGCAGGCACGTATCGCATGTCCGGCTGTTTTTCGTATTTTGTTTTTCATTTTTGGAGGTTTAAATGCACACGTAGTTGTGACACCGTCACATCCCCCCCCCCCCACCTCCCACCCTTGCTGTTTTTGAAAGGCTTTTTTACTACGGCATGCAAATCCTGCGGTGGCGTGCGGGCGTCCAATTTTGAGACGGCGGACCAAAATACCGCCTGCCCGCCTCTCAAATGGTTCTGTAAAAAAAATAAATAAGAAATGCTAATCGGTGAATTTTGTCTTTCCTTTTTGTAGCGGACTCATCGCAAAATAAAAGGGCCAATACTACCGTGGATGAAGTTGCCCTGAGCCCTAATGTAACGAGGTCAGAGGAACAAACGCCCAGTAAATCCAACCCCAGGCAACAGAAGTGAAGATTTTAAGGTACCTTCTCGTCATTTTAATGTCTTGTAAAAAAACTATAAACGTTTTCGCAGACGTAACTCACTACCGCGCCGCTTTAAAAAAAAAGCTTTATGTTTCCCTGAACTGTCATTTTCTGGAAAATCTAGTCGCGTTGTCTCCAAATTGGTCAGGACGTTATGGTTGATTTCATTAGTGCAATACTAATTATATGTTTCTCGTCGGCCGTCGCAAAACAACAGTGCTGTAGTACAGTTTGTAGTTAAAATGAATACATTTGAAATATGCCTTTAAAACTGTTACGGGGCTGTTTTTTTTCCCCCCAAAAAAAACGTTTTTCGTAGTTTTCGGGGAATGGTTAATACACAGCAGGTGCAGTCGAATTAAATTCATCTCTGGGTTTTTAGTGCTAGGCGAGTCTCATCCTGAAGAAGAACAGGCCAAAAACCTAATGCAGGCATAGAAAACTTAGGGCGTTAAATTTAATATTGTCTTGGATTTTGTTGGTGGAGAAACAGTGGTGTTGTCCAGGGGGGCTTCGCGTGTTCTCGCTGTGGGAGGGAGCGGGTTAAAATTTGCTGCGCCGCTTTTATATCATCCATTCAGAAAGGATGGCCGGGGGTGGGTTGTGGGGGGGACGGGACGGACGCTGGAGACATTTCAGCTCACGATCACTTGAAACACAGACGCAAACGTGTAAAAAAGGGGTTAAAAGCAAACAGATCTGACGTGTTAACTCAAGAGCGCTGTTGCCCTCCGAGAGTGAGCTCCCCTCGTATCTGTAAACAAGCGCCTGCACTGAACAACAGTAGTAACACGTCAGCAAGAGAGGCTTTGACTGGTGAAGGGGCTGGCCCAGTTTTCTTGCTTCTGTACCTGTTCCAATCTGAGAACGGCAGCGAGCACTTTCGCTCACAGACCGCTCCGTGCGTGCTTGCAAAGTAAGGTTCGCCAGTAAGGTACTACGAAAGTATTCACATTGCATCTGGGTGCGTACTTGTGAACCTTCATAGGTTATAAATCATTGTGCGAACTGGTTAGCCAAGAAAGTAGAGATGTCAAATAAACATAATAGTGCTTTTGGGGAGATGCAACTGTTATTTATTTTTTTTTGTTCCAGGCACTTATTTTTAAGTGATTTTTAAAGGCTGTGATAAACAGATTTTTTTCTTTTTATTGTTGGGAGGCAAAACAGTGTCCACAGCTAATTGCTTTGCAACAAGTTTTATGTGAAATGTAATTGGATTGGATTGCAAATCTGTTTTATAAAAAGTGCCCCAGTTGGAAGATTTGATTTTTTTTAAAGTTTTGGGGGATAGAACCCTAAGGTAGGGATTTGATTTAATTTAGTAGCCTCCTTTTGTGTGCAATTTTTATTAAAGGAAACTGTAATACAAACTTGTTCTTAAGTGATACACAGATCAGTATTTTGGATCCTTCTTTGATTTCATTCAAAGTGGCTTAAAACTCCAGAGCACTGTGTCAGAGGATTGCTTACAAAGATTGAAAGCCTATTTTTCAGTTTGGTGCTAACGTGTCGTGATGCTGAATATCATGTTTTCTCTTTTCAGAGCTGAAGATGTATTTCCCTTGTTCATCGAATACATCAGTGCTTGATGAAGAGGAGCTGAGAAAAATACATATCGTTAATTCTCCAAGTGATGGAGATTACTGTACAAGCACTGAATATATATAAAATATATATGTAAACACTAAAGTTCTGGCACTCAAGAAAAAACTGCCTCTACAGCAGTCAATGTAGCAGTGTGCAATTAGGTGTCTCTTTTTGCTCATTTTTTTACTACCTGTGTATATATATTTTTTCTCATCATATGTAGCACATAAAAAGTTTTATTATTGTTGCAAATACAAATTTCCTTTATACGAAACGAGTGAATTTTGTTTGACTTGAAGATTTGAGGTGTAGTTTTTCATAATGTTTCCAAAATGCTATCGTTTTTGAAGTTTATGTGTTTTTCAGTAGTTCTCAAGTTAGTACAAACTGGCAGACTAGAGTCGAGATTTCCACATCATTGTCACCAACCCCCTGTAAAGCCATTATGCGTGGCTTTTAAAAAAAACCCTGTTTGCAGTGTTCATGTGATGTCCTCTACACTTGATTGGTGTAGTAAGTTGTTTTAAAATGTGTATTGTGATTTTGCAGTCATCATCCAGTGTAAACATGTTGTACCGTTAACCCGAAGGATATGGTTGAGTGTGCAGCAATTAAAACTTTTTGTTCAAAATTTCATCCAGTTATAAAGCCGGTAATATACAAGGTTTTGTAGTGAAGTGCCATATTTTATTTTTTTTAAAGACATTGTGTTGGCATGGCCTACTGGTAACTAATTTTGCTGTAACAGCAGTAATGGCGTATAATCTGGACTTTTCCTTTTGTCATTTGAAATGTTTTTCAGTCATGCCTAAATCTATTTAATTTGTTGGAACTTCTTACATGTAGCATAAAAGGGCACTGTGTTCATTAGAAGAAGCATTTCATGTCTTCATGAACCAGAAACTACATTGCCTGTGTATTTGTAAAATGTAAAACTTTTGAAGTGTACCTGTGTACATAATGTTGTAAAAACACTGAGAAATTATACTAACTTATTTATGTTAAGATTTTTATATAATTTAGAAGAATGGGTTTTGTCTATGGTTATCCAAAGTGACATTTATTGTGCATTTCTGTAAAAGCTTTTTTTTTCTAGTAAGATAAGCAATTTGTTCATTTTGCTTTTTTGTTCCTTTTTTGTGTTGTTTTTTTCCCTGATTTTAAAAAAAATCATGTAAGGTTGCAGACTGAGCCAGATTAAAAGATTTGGTATATCTATTTTTTTGTAATGTGTGTTTAAAAAATATTGCAGTCCATTAAAAATGAAAAAAAAAGTGCTTTCTGGGGAGAGCAATTTCATTATTTTTACCTTCCAGTGTTGCAATTAATGAAACAATCTTATTTGCTTTAAAATAACATATTTTGTAATGTAATCCCTCAAATACACTAGGTTAACATTTCATTTACTACGAACTCAATTTAAGATATTTTTAAGTTTGTTGCAGTCCTGTTTAATATAGATGAGTGTATTGTTAATTTTAATATATTAAGCTCCTAGCCAAGAAACGAGAGAAAAGCCAGTATGTTTCACCTGGTATGCTAGGTGTGAACACTAACATGGAGATGCAAATTGTAAACGAATCTCTGGTAAGGGCAACTTAGATGCGATCGGTGTGAAAAACATAAATATTGTCTACAGGTCATATAAAACAAACATATGGGAGAAAGCGATTGTGATTTTTTTATGAAAAAGGAAAAGTGTAAGTTCAGGGATGGTGTACTGTAGCACTCCGCATCATTACAAAGATCGAAATAGCAAATAAGCGCAACAAAGATGCACAGGTGAGTCGGAGTTTCAACGAGTTCAAAATAAACACGACCTTTTTCCCCAAAAAATATCAGTTTATCTGAGTGCACATTCTCAGAACACGGTTCCCAATGTGCACAATCTCTTTTACGGTACGGGGCCTACGAATGCAAAATAATTTGAGGCTAGAATTACAGTGACCATGTCTTTTCATTAACCATTTCACATCCGGTCATCTTGTCACATCTTGGACAAAAAGGTAATAATGACGGCGATTAGTTGTAACTATTCCTGCAATTGATGGACGAAGTTAGTACGTCGCTGTTCGCATTCCTGGTGTGGAAATTCTCCTGTTGCCAGATCTTTTCTCATTACTTCACTATAGAACCACCATCTGAGCCAAAACCTTCATGATTTTAACAATTTACATGAATCTATTGTCAAGCAAGATTAGATCTTAAATTTAAAGGCGTGGTGTTTTTTTTTATTATCCAAAGTATCAAGCAATAAAAGAAACGCCGTGTATTAATTCTTGTGTTAAGTTATATAAAACCCCAGAGCAAGTACTCTTACATTTCGGGTTTTTTTTAAACTAAAGATCGCAGGGCACACTCGAAATGGGAGTTTTTCCAATTTTAGATAGCAACAAAACACTGCAGGGGAGTGGGACCCAACTTGCTACCGATAGATCGATGCACACAGAACGACATGTAGTTTACATTATGTGATCAGAATAATTACATTATGAGAACGCTACGTTTATGAACACATGTGAACACACACGGTACTTTATAAATGCGCCTACGTCGCACAATACCGTAGGTTCTGTATATTACCTTTAAGTAGATCGTTATTTTTTAAAGCAAAACATTGACCTACAAAACACAATTATAATAATAATTATAAGACGGCATATTGAGAAACAGAATGATAACACCCTAAAAACGTCTTGAGAACAAAATGATAACATCCTAAAAGTCGTGCATAATATTCACTTCCTCAAATTTCCTTTCTCCTCCTTTCAAAAAAACAGTCAGCGACTTTATTTTCTGTCGATGATAAAAGTGACAGAGGTACGATAGGAGCTCGGAAGGCACATTTTTTGAAAAAAATATCAAGTTAAATAATATACGAAAACAGGGGGAAGTCCCTTTATGAAAAGGGAAAAACAAGGAAATTGACGCTTAGTTCATCCAATCAGACAAGCATTGAGAAAAGCACACCACTCTAAACGGCCATTGACATAATATAAACTCCACAACGTAGTTGTTAACGTTAACGCAGTTTACTAGTAGGAGAACAGAGTGTTCTCACAGCTCGGCACAACCCAAATTAGTGATCCTCCACGCTATTGGTGCCCGTGTATGGTTTGAATTTTTTTTTTTTGCTGATGCCTGCAACATTAAATCATAGGTGTGGTTGCAGTCTGGGTATTAAATTCGGTATTCGCTTTTTCGTAAGACCAAGAACTTTAGTATCCTAAAGTTAAGTCACCAGTGGGACACGTTATTTAGCAATTCCAGGTGGAAAAAGCACGTTACAGCCCTTTTAAAACAAAGGCAAAACGATCTGAGAACGGTTGTGATGATATCGAAACAAGATTGCATTACATTTAGGAAAACATCGGGACCTGACAGTGAAGTCCATGCCCTGCTTAACGAATGTGCCTTTCACATTCCTAACGCTGCGAAATAATGTACTGTAGTGGAATTAAGGGGCGCGTAAAAACGAATTAGCTTCTGATGCCACGACTACGAGAGACTACACACATACAGTGCACATACTGTATACGGCATGTTGCCGACTTAATGCAAAGAAGATCGGGAATGTAAAGTAACTGAAACCACAGGTAAGTGCAGGCAGCGGTACATAAGTTGCCACGCAACACAATTTCAAAATGTCACTGTGATGGAGGACGATCTAATTTCTTAAGTATTTAAACTATAATATATAGATTTTGTTTAATGGGATTTATAAACGAATCCACGCTCCATAGCAGCCTTGTCTCTGAAGGTTTCTTTCTGATGTCTTCCAGTTTTGTTTTAGAAATAAAAACCCTGAAAGGAACTGATCTACATTTCATGAATGTTGCAAGCTTTAAATGTGGGCTCTGAGGAGAGAGAGACAGAATTCACTCCTGTTACTAGAAGGTGTTTTGCTCATGGTGTGTGCCCTAGGTTTCCAGAAGCAAAGTTTAACAGAAAAGTACAGGAGCAAAGTGCCCCATTTCCCACAATCAGTTTCCCAAACAGAAATAATGTGAAGGCATGTAGGGCTAGCGCCTAACTCCTCTGGTCCTACTACAGTACACCCCCCAGGAAGTTAGTTTCATGCTGAAGGAAGTGAGGTGGCGCTTCTTAGGGAACTGGTAGGCCCACCACCCTTAATGGTGAAGCCCTGATGACGAAGTAAATTGGGTACTACTTTAATTAAAAGAATGCTTGTGTGTCTCTTTATGTCACCAGGGTAGATCCTGCAGCCTTAAAGGGGAAAACAACTTAAAACTCTCCATAAGCCATCTGAAGGTGGTGCGAGCAATGCATAGTCCCTAACTGCCACACTTGTCTCCCTGTGACGCACGTTTATCCCCACAGTACCTGCGTCTCAAATGGAGGCAACTGAACCACCAAGACCCAGGGAAGTGGTCCAGTGCCTCATCAATCTGAGGCGGTAGTAGGAGAACTTTCTAAGTCGCCTTATTGCTCTTTGTAGTCCACACAAAACCTTAGTGCCCTGTTCAGTTTTAGAGGGCTCTGCTGTTCCTTCTTTAAACGCCTGCTCTAACATCTGCCTGCTGTTCACTTAATGGTAGTTGTTTGTAAGGTGGCAGGATCTGGATGGCAGAGCTTATCTGATGCTGTATTAAGTTGCAATGCATACAGTCCCCTACACGAGCCACAAGGTCTCTAGAGCCCTCCTTGTCTCCGCCGTCAGTTTTAAAGGCTGAGCCCTCATGTCCTGCCCGGCCTAAGTCGGCATTGTCCCACTGGTGGTGCAGAATCTGCAGTTCGGTCAGCTGCTTGTTCAACGACACTGGACATCCCTGCTCTAGAGCATTAATGTTGCAGGCTACCTTGGCATGAAATAATGTTCCACCTACAGGCATTCACTTAGTTCTGCAAGCCTACTTTCATGCTTTGTCAGTCAAGTAAAAGATTACACCCTATTGCTTCAGCTGTCTCGAAGAAATGCAAAGTAGTCTATGGGCAAGCAATATTAAAGACCCCTGCAGAAGGCACAAAAGCCAAAATGTTGTGTTTCTTTCTGCTTCAGTGTGGAATTAACCTTTACCTGTTCCTTTACAGCCATCCTACACTGACACAGGTCTCTACCCCCATATGAAAGACACCACGAACTGTGAATGGTTGTTAGTTTAAAATACTTGTAGTTTATATATTTCTTAGGCTTTGGTATTTGGACATTCCAATAGTCTGTTCTTGGAGATACAGTACTTATCACAGTTATTTGTTGATGTTTGGAGTAAAAACACGTGGGCATAAGAAACATTACAAACTAGTGGATGCCTTTAGACCTGGTATCCGATTGATCCAGTACTTCATTGGAGGGAATTTTTTTAACAACATAGTTGGGCAGCTTGTTCCAGACTCCCACAACCCTTAGTGTATAAAAGTGCCTCTGTTTTTTGTGAGTCTGACTGCAGCCATAAAATCTATTTTGTTAGGTTGTGTGGAGACAGAGAATGTTAAATGCAACTGGAAAAAGTAAAGATATATAAATAACTCTTTTGTCCTGTTCAGTGTTCTCGAATGTCTCGGTGTCTTCTGGTTTGGATTAATCAATTACTTAATTATGATGAGTTAACATGCTTTCCCGATTTACGGTTATTGACCATTTAAGGAAACAGCACCTATAACACCTACCAGACTGTGGCTCTTTGCAAACATTATAGACCTGTCAGTTAGAGCAAGCAGTGGGAAAGCACAGATGCCTTTTCTTTCCTTTAGCACTTGTTTCATTTCCCCCCTTTCCTCATTTTACCATGCTTATTTTTTGTATTTGGCATATTGTCTTGCTCTGTTTTCAAAATTACCAAGTGATTGTTAAAAATGCAGCGCCTCTATTTTCAGTCTTAAATCTCGTTCTCTTAATTTCTGCTTGTGTCATCTGGTTTTTGTTTGACTCTGAGGGTTTTGAATACTTGCATAAAGTCCCCCTGTTGAGTTCTCTGTTTAAGTTAATTTATGAGTAACACAGAATTAATATAACAAGCAGTTTATGCAGAGCTACATCTTTTTTAATTGGCATTGATTATAAATGTGGGCGGCACAGTAGTGCAGTGCTTAGCATTGCTGCTTCACCTGTTAGAGATCTCGGTTCAGTTCCTGGGGTGTTATCTGCATGAAGTTTGTAAGTTTGTAAGTTCTCTGTGTTCGCATGGTTTTCCTCCCACAGTCTTAAGGCATACAGGTACTGTAAGTGAATGGGCTTCTGGGACAACTGGCCTTGGTGTGAGTATGTGTGTTTGTGTCTGTCTGCCCTGTGGCGAACTCTCCAGGGTATAACCTT